ATTACAAAAAAGATAAAGAATAATATTTTTGAAGGAATGACATATTGATTTTATATTTTATTATTATTTGACTTAGTATTCCACTTTCAAAATAAATAAATAAATGTTGTAAATTTAAATGATGTTTAAATTGATTTGAGACAATATTTAGACAAATCGATATGTCATTCCCTCAAAAATATTATTTTCTATCTTTTTTGTAATGGGAGGTTTTACTCTAAAATTACTTCAAGRTATAGAAAAAATGATTGTGCGTATATGCGTTTTGTCTATGTTACGAGTGAGCCAGATAGAGAAAACAAATAGTGCGCTGACATCCTCTTAATTGTTATACTTTGCATCTATATGTTAGGATTGGACTAATTACAACTATATTGTCGATGCACAAGAATAGTGACACAACTCAAAAATGTAGATTTTCCAGTACAGCGGATTAAAGATTTCAATTATGTGATAAAGAATAACGACACTACACCTATCTTGCAGTGATTTTCGGAAACRTAAAAAATGTCGTTCTTGCACATAAAAATATGGTTATTTTGCAATGCATTTTTATGATAATCTCRAAAATGCTAATTTTTTAATTGTTTCACTATTCTTGTGCACCGACAATATAGAAAAACACTTTGGTTTTTTTAGAAAACAGTTTAGATATTTTAAAGTATCTGGTTAGTAAAAATGATGTCTTTTCTGCCTTGATAATTCAGCTCTTTAATTAGATAGATCAGTAATTATTATCACTGACATTAGGCCTCATATTTGTAAATTGGTACATTTACTCATATGTATGCCCTTGAATCACTATATGCTGGCATGATTGTTGGTTTACAGTCGTTCCRTTACTYTGATTTTATCATCAGACRAATGATAGTTAAGGGTTTTKTATTATACTTTTTTCATTGATACCAAATTTATTTAAGTCATCTACAAAACCTAAGTCTAATGTCAAGATATCTTGTATATTCATGTATAAAAATTATTTGTTTTTCTACATTACTTGATAAACAGAGCAAAAGTTTGTGCCTGCATCATCCATTTTTTTATTAATTACATTTTAACGAATACTAAAGATAAATTCAAAATAACGATTATCATTTTTTATTTTTCATGATTGGTTGCAATTAAAACTTTACCATTTAACCAATTATATGTTWTAAATATAATTTTATTCAGTACAATAATTTGTATTAAATAGAATTTAATTTTAGTAAGTTGTATACATTTTAAATATTGTATTCATGCATGAGTTATATCTAAAAGTAATTTAAACTGCTGTCAGAGCAAGTATTTATTTTGTGAATTAGGTGTACAAAATTTATTTTGTTATAGTATTTTATTAAATTATGTTATTATTATAACAAAAAAAAAAAAAATCAAGGCTTGTAACCAGAAATATTTGTGTCATAACATAATAATATATTTTTGTTATTATAAAATGTTCATTATTTTTCAAAATAATGGAAAACTTCTGGTTTTGTTTATTGCATTACATCACATAATCTTCAAGATATTCAATTAGTATATCACATATTACAACATCAAAATTTTAATGGACAATTTGTCTAACAAGATAATAATAATTCCTACAGTTATTTTTCCAATAAATASGGTATTTTTGTTTGTAAGATATTGGTGTATATACTGTATAATATTATTTATATTACTTTATTACTTACTTTTATTTAGTGTGTTGTTAAAATGTAAATTAAAATTTGTTTTTGACATTTAAGTTGATTAAGAGCCAACATTTTAGTTGCGTTCTGATTTCTGAATTCATCAATTGAATTAWTATTTATGTTTTTAACGGTTTTACAAATTGATTTYGTCAATATGGTTACATGCCTTGAACTTCATATTTATAATTTAAAATTGGTTAAATTGAATTATATACTAATGTAAATGTTTATATCAATTAATTCCAGCTTTTTACACTATGGTCTTGGTTGCCAGTGAGGATAACAATGTACCAACCAATACTTCTTTACACAACTGAAGAGCATGGCTGTAGTTTGACTACATTCTATGTTAGAGTTGAACATCATGAACCAACACTTCTACTAATAAAAACTTGCAATGATGAAGTATAAAATAATATACCTACATACATTAATTTATTAAATTGTTTGACAACTCTATTATGTATTCTATTTTTATTGGAGGTTTTTGGTGCATATTGTTCTTCAAAGTGGATTGAGAGAAAYAAAAAGGATGATCGTGGAAATAGACAAGCTTATTTTGGTACTGGTGAGACATTCATATTCAGTCTATATCCGGGTAAAGCAAAGTACCCATGGGTTGGAATGGAAGTTGATAATGTACATCATGCTAATGAGCTATTTATGGCAGCTGATCAAAAAATGATCACCATCGGCGGAGGGTAAAATTTTTGATTTATTATTATTCCATTTAAATACTAAGTTTGAAGTTTGTAATGATTATTATCGATGTTTATGTTATTAATGTAGTGACGGTCAAGCAATATGGATGGATGAAAACGTCCGGTTTGGAAAAACTGAGGGTTGTTCTACATTCAACAACCCACCATTGTGTAAAAGTCGAGATTTTGAAATAAAAGTTTTGGAAGTCTACGGTTTTGACGGAGTGTAAGTAACTTAAAAAAGAACATGATTATATCAAAATTATAGAGAAAAATGATTATGCTGTCAGTCAACTGTGACCTATACTTAAATTGCTAAGATTATTATTTGATAAAAATACAATAATATTGAYATAATCATATTATATAACATCAGTTTAATGTTAAATATTGTTTTCTAAAACAAAATTATTAATAATTTTATTTTTAGGATTCTTTAAAGCAAATACCAATTCAACTCAAAAGTGACAAGTCTACTAGTCATATATATATATTTTTTTTTTATACTCATAGTTACTTATTTAGTAAGTTAGATTAAGTAATTTTTGTAATACAAAATTCGATACAGAATTTTCGTTCCTGGATTTTGATAATAGGTACTTACTACTTAGTTAATAATTATAACATGTTTTGAGGTTGCATGAGTACTCAAATTTAATTAACAAATTAGATCCAAGTTTGAATTATTTTTGATTAATGAGTACTTGGGTATGCAAAATAGCTCTAGTACTTAAATTCTAGTACAACATTTTTTAAAACATATTTAACTATTTCAATTATTAAAATACAGTATATATTTTTTTATTGTAATAAAATAATAATAAAATCTTAATAAGAATTCATTGCTCGGCGTAGAGTTGAGTTAATTAAACTTTTCACAAACAAATTATCTGTTCCTGCATATTGAGTACCATAATTAATTCTAAATGGAAAATATGAGTATATGTGCATCTTAAATATTTATAAAATGATATTATTTTATTGTCATGTAACTGATAAATACAGCCTGTTTTAGAAACAAAAAGCCTAATATTTAGATTAAAATAGCTRTTGCAAAATTTTATCAAAAAATAATTTACTTAATTTATTTCAGACTTGATTGACTTGTTTATAATTTAATAATGGAGATAATGATATACAAGTAACTTATACAAATTTATAAAAATCTATTGATTGGATTTTTTTAGTTCAACCATGTTTAGAATTATAATGTCTCAAATGTGTTCAACAGTTTTTAATCCTAATTTTAAGAAATGTTTAAAATTGAGTTGATATTCAAGAATTCTTAAAATATGTTCTTGAATACCAAAAAATTCCAAAATTTTTTTGGCATTTTTATTCATTACAGGCTGTATACAAAAAAATTATAGTCAATGAAATTGAATGCTTATGTTAAAATTAAAAAGTGTACTTAATTATTACTAAATGTGTGTGTGTGTGTGTGTGTGTGTGTGTATATTGTTAACATTTACGCATCAGAAAATTATGTTTAAGTGTTGTACAACTACTATGCTGCTAACTTATAATGGATTTTAAAACAATAATTATTATTTTCTGTTGGATATAATAGTATGTATAATTAACATATTACTGGTATTGGAACACCATATAAATCACCAATTCATTATATTTAATTGTTACATTTTATAATTAAATTTTTAAGATTCCTATTAAATTTTTAAGATACATCTTTCATTCATCTAAATATATTTTTAATAATGTAACACACAACTGGTTTATAAATGTTAAAAAATACTCTTTCATCTTATAAAAAAACATTCAAAAGAGTTTTATAAATGTATTGGTGATTTTTTAAACATAATGGGTCGATACTAATACTAATACCTAAATTTCATCACTTGTGTGTTCATTATGGGCAAACAGCAGACATATTAGCATGTGATGCGTATTTAACCTATTACTTTTAGTGCTTTTTCATATTTACCATTTTATTAGTTTAAAATGTTAAATATTGTGTTCACTAGTTTTACGATTCAGTTGAGTTTTGAGTTTGAGTAGATTAAACATTAGAATAAATTCTATTTCAAATTATTCATTTAAGATTCAACCAGTACTTAATAATGAGTTCATATTTATTGTGTTATTTATACATTTAATGTAAGTTATAGAAGAGGTTTTAAACAATATTTTATTCAGCATTAGCTGTTTAGTGTAGGCATGTAAGTGTGGTCTTATTCTAATTGTTACTTAATCATTTGTTACTAAGTATTGAAAGTTTGTTTTCAATTATTGTTTTGTTTCTTATGATATTTTATATATTACATAATAYATTAAGCATTATTGTTTGTTCTGCTATTTTGTTGTTACCAAGTTAATTCCAATATTATATTTATATATCAATATCATAAAGGATAAAATAGTGTGTTTGTAATATCATGTTAGATTATGATATAATTTATGTCGAGTGTGAAAAAATTATTCTACTTGTCTTATGTTATAAAATTGCATTTTGCATATTATATTAAATTATTATTATCATATTATTATTATTATATGCTTAGACTGTTATACTCATAAACTAGTGATATATTTTTTACAATATCTATATCATTCTTATTATATTCATTATAGTTGACATTATTTAAATACTACAATACATAGTATGTGTCTAATTTTTCCATTGTGCTTTTTAGTTGTTTAAAGTTTACATACTTGTTGACAAGAGCATTTTATGCGCACTCTCATGTCAGTTTTATTTATATGTTGATTAATTTTGTTAAGTTTTTTTTATTACTAATTGTACACACCGATAGCTTTATAATAATATTGTGTTTAATCGTTAAACATTTATGACATATTATATATTATATACCTTTGTTGTTTTATTTTTGCATGAAATATGTTCAGTCTCCGGTAAAATTGACGCAACACAACCTCCTCTGCTTTTTTACATTCAAAACTTTTATATACATTTTATTATAACTATTATTAAGACTACAATATCATACTATTTACTACTATTTTGATATAATAAGAAATGTTGGATACCTATAAACACAATTTTAACATTGTTGCGACTTCTTTACCAGAGACTCCCATTAGTTCCAACCATATTGTTATAATATGTACAGTAGGGAAATTTTTAAAATGTGTTTTTATTACTATTACTATTATGATTATTATTTTTAATATTATTATTGTTTTTCAAGTCTAGTCGAATCCTTAAGTGGTGCGTCTTTTTTAATTCCGCCCATTTTATTATATCCCTCTCAGCGATACAATGTTGTTACCGTTTAATTGTTTTATATTATATCGTCGCCATCTGTGATAACATTCATATTATAATAATATATATTATGTTTCTCCCTTCCAGTTGTCCCCTATTTTTTAAATACAAGTTTTTACTACATTAATTCAATTTTCATACAGYGAGTAGGCTTCACTTGATTTTGGACGTATATTGCATTCTAGTAAACACTACGAATGAAATATGTTATGTGTGTCCATCTTGTAAGCCGAACAGATTTTTATTATATTCCTCTCCCCAACATTGACCAACTATTATACGCGTCATTGCTGTTTATTTCATATTGCTATTCTTAGCATCTTACTGTACATTTGTGTTACAATTCACTATGTTATTAATATTATATTATATTGATTTGTAAAAATGATTTTTTCGTTTTTGTTTTGTTTTTTTTTTTTTTTTAGTTATTTGTTACCAATTTAGTATTATTATAGACATTTTAATACCTTTATACGCATACAATAATGATATAGTATCTGTACATAACATTAGGCTGTGTACTTTTTGAAATGTGTGAGTTAGACCACAATGTATTCGAACTAAATAAAAATTACTTTTTAATTAACAGTATATTCATCAGACATAACATTGTTCTTTATTGAAGAAAAAAAATTAGTACCTATTATATTAGAAATCCCAAATAGTGGTTTGAACTATTTTTGTTTGTCATTAAAAAATGTACAAGGTTAATTTAAAAGAAAAAAAAGAAAGTAACTGCTAATATAATA